CAGTAGGGCCTTACAGCAGGGTTCCAGAACATAACTATATCATAATAATATAGTAGAGTCAAAAGATATAAACTTCAAGCGACCAGAGCTTAGGGTGTAGGGTTTAGCGTTCCCGTGCAGCTTTCTGTAAGGGATATGCAAGGCCTCGGTCATTAGAATAACAAGGCCCCCCCTGTAACAGTCTATATGAGAGGTCATACCAAGGGCTATATATGGCTGTAGATCATACATATTATCCAACTGTTGCAGAGTGGGTGCAGTATCCAACTTAGAACAGAGTTTTTGGGTTTTGGGTTCCTTCTGAGGGATCCATAAAGCTTGTAGAATCTAGGTTCAAGGTAGTTAGAATGCAGTGTTAAGGTGTCTTGTACGAAACTTGCGTTGGGACTAAATGGGGACAATATTCGTGGTTATTGCTTCTCAGGACTTGAAATGCTTTTGTTGCTATGAAAACTCTCTATAAGCGGACAAAGGTTCACGGCGCAACAGTGTCTGGGTTTAGGGTTTAGGGGTTTAGGGTTTAGGGTTTAGAGTGTCTGGGCCTTGGTCTTTTGGGGTTTGTGGATATTGCCTTGTTGGCTTAGAGTTGTGCAGAGTGCCTGGGTTTAGTCCTTACGGGCGTTGGGGATTTGTAAACTTCAAACGTTTGAATGTTGACTGGACTTCAATATCCCTTAGTCAAAGGCCCCTTGTCAAAGGGTGTTGCGACATAAGGTATTCTAATAACTGTCTCAGTGCATGCATGAACATTCACGATGTCAACATGCCTTGTGTAAGGGTCCCTTATGGAGAATGCTCAATACAAAGTAAGGAGTATGCCCCCAGAGACTCCAATATCCCTTAATTGAGGAATATACCTGAAAATATACTAGGATCCCTAATATGATTTGAAGAATATTCCTTAATTAAGGGATATTGGGGTCTCTGGGCCCTGCGTCTCTGCCATGCAATCCTCGGGCCCCGGATGCTTCACTGCATCACACTCGTCCTCTTGCTTTGGCAACTTGGGAAGCTCAAACCCTAAACTTAGAAGAGGCCCCCACCCCGTAATAGTGGTAAAATAGGAATACAATTAAGGCCCTAATATAATCCTTATAGTCACCATTATAGGATTCTAACCCTAAACCCTAAACCCTACACCGAAGATACCTGCAAGATCCCCGTCGCCAGAGGGGTGCTTGTCAAAATTAGGGTCCCTTTTTGGGTTCTTAAGTACGGCACCTAATATTTAGGGTACCCAAAAAAGGGCCCATAGTTTGACAACCACCCATATGGCTTAGAGTATGGCTCATGTACGTCACCTACAATCAGGGAAACAGTCCCTCCCTCTCTTCACACACTCTCCAATCTTCTTTGTGGCACGGCGCAAACTGGCAGTACCTTTCCCGTGCGTCAAGCCAATGACTTCGCCTGGCTCTCAGTCGAGAAGTCAACCTCTTCTCGGTGAGGGGGTCTGGCCCCATGATAATGGACTGTCTGCAAGATGACCTGAACATTACCGTGCGACGCGACAAGGTGGGGAAATCCTCATCCATAGCCTCACCAGACTTAAAATGATTTTGCAGTCTCCGGCCCTACACCTCGGTGTAAACCTTAGAGCCGGAGCCCTGACGGCGCGAAGCCTACAGATGTAGGGAGTTTAGGCAGTGAGAGGAAGTAAAGCTCTGGGCTTCGCGGACTCACATAGGTGGTTGTCAAAATTATGGTCCTTCTTTGGGTCCCTATTATTCACGGCCATCTGTCGGTCAGAGAAGCGAGTCGAACGAGCCTGGTGGCACTTTCGTCAATCTCAGTACGGTACCCAAAGTGGGACCTTAATTTTGACAACTACCCACATGGAGTTGAGATATGGGGTTAGGATCTCAGGGGTGAGGCGGATCAGGTCGGAGACTCCTACACTTCTGGGATGGGGCTGCAGGTTTTTGGTTTGCGATTTGCCCTTTTGGTCTGGAGGGAACCCATATTCCTGCTCTACGAAAAAAACAAATTTGCCGCGAGAACATAGTAAAAACACCAGGAAAGATAATTTACAGGAACGCTGGCATCTACAAACAAAGCTTCCCTGGCCCACGCTCCTCGCCCTGCAGCGCGCCCTCGAATCTCTTGGCGGCACCCTGGGCTCGCGGGGGGTTGGGTGGCTTTGGGGCCTTTGTTATGGCGATTGTTTGCGTTGATTCCAGAAAGCTGCTTAAGAGCTTTCAAGTTCCTAAGGCCGAGCCAACCCTCGAAACCGATCTCACCTGCTCCGATTCAAAGACGAACACGAACCTTCTCAAGATCTAATCGCAAAACCCTTCAAAATCCGCATGTGACAAAACCCTCACCTACGTTTCATCTCCCTGAATCCCAAGCCCCTAAGCCCTGCGAAGGCCCGTTGAAAGCCCGTTAGAACTCCATAATTTTACTTTAAAGCCCTACAACACTTGTATAAAATCCTACACAACCCCCTATGAAGCCCTATCAAACTCCTTTGCAACCCAACAAAGCCTAGGTGAGCCCTTAAAAGGGAAGCCTAGAACAAACTCGCAGAGCCGGAGACCGCGCCTCCCGGAGTTCCGCTTGCTGCCGCTTCAGGCGCAAAGACGCGAGGAGCTCCTGGTGGGCGTTAGGGTTTGGGGTTCACGGGTTCAGGGGCCTGTGGGTTTGGGGCTTAGGGTTTGGGGTTTAGGGTTTAGGGTTTAGAGTTTAGGGTTTAGGGTTTGGAGTTTGGGCTTTAGGGTTTAGGGTTTGGGGTTTGGGGTTCCGGGTTTAGGGTTCAGGGGCTTGTGGGTTTGGGGTTTAGGGATTTATAGGGCATGCAGGGTTTTCGGGTTTAGTGTAATCAGGAACCTGATTTAAAAAACCCTGGGCCCAAAAATCCCAAAAGTCATGGGATTCATGCAAGGAACTCCAATAAAGGCCCTAATGAGGTTCCTACGTTAGGGTTTGGGGTTTAGGGTCTATAGGGTTTAGCTCTTAGGGGCTTGAGGATTTAGCGCTGAAGGTTCTAGGATTTCGGGCGTAGGTTTTGGGGGTTGAAGCTTTAAGGCTTAGTTTCAGGGTTTAGCGTCCCTGGCTATGCGCCTTGTTAGAGGGTTTCAACAGTGCACTAAGGAGGTCTGGATCTGAATTTCGTTCTGCGATCATTAATTGTCAGGGTTTTGGTTTCCTTTGTGTTATTCCAAACTTCTTACATAGTAGTATCTTAACACTGAGAATTCGGTTTGGAGGATTAGCGTGCCATATCTACCCGGGCACCAAGAAGGGGAGAATTCGAAAGCACAGCAACTCCCCCTTCCTAAACCGACGGGGTAGAGCTCGAACTCCGAAACTCGAACCGCACTCCACCCTAAACCCTCAAAGCTCTATGCTACGACCCGTTCTGAAATCCATCTCAAGAAAGCCGAACCTGAAAGGAATGCCCTTGATCCCAATTTGCATAATCCGAAAAACACAAAAGTGCTGTGAAAGCTCAATGGTTCAGAAACATCGGCTCTTTCGTGAACCCCTGAGCTAAAACTCCCAACCCTACACTCTTGCTCCTACCAAAACTTGCTTGGCACCCGAAGCTTCGATCTTGACCCACAACGCTGACATGAAGCTGTGAAGGCTAAAGAGGCTACATACAAAACCGCTTAAGCCAAGAAATACGCTCTAACTTTGAGGTATCCGAAACCGTACTCAGCCCCGATAACAATTTTAAAAAAATGCAAAACCCTTTCACAACTATGCTCCCCAAACCCTCCTAAACCCCAAACCGTAAACCCTAACCTCCAAAGCTTGAGCCCTAAAGCCCAAACCCCGGACCCTAAACCACCCAACCCTAAACCCTAAACGAAGTTTGGTGTCTCCAACGGCCTCTTTGGTTCGCAGCTTCTCGGAAGGCAGCTGAGCGGCCTTCGCGATCCGCAGGGCTCTATATGCGGGGTCCAGATCGTGTGGGAGTGGTGAGGGGCGGGGCGAACCAAGATTGTTGTGTGGTTTAGGGTTAGGGGCGTTCGCTAAATTTGTGTCGGCTGGGTGGCTTGTATTTGGCATTGTTGCTTGCTTTGGGTAGCTGCTGGCTTTGGATTTAGGGCGGAGGGCCCCGGAAAAAAGTATATGTCTAAACGAGATAGATCACAGATGCTTTAACTTTTGGGCTTGCTGCTTCTTCGATGTGGGACTTACCACTGAACCCTGAAGCCCAAAACCCATGGTTTACACTTTAGGGCTCCTGATCCCCCTAAAACCCACCATGTAATCACGATGCAATATACCCCAAAACCCTGTGTAATTCTTCGGGCTTGCGAAACCCTGATTCCTAAGCCCTGCATTGCCCTAAACCCTAAACCCTAAACCCTAAACCCCAGACCCTAAACCTAGAAAACTGCAACACTGCAGTCTCTGTGAACTTCTGGTTCAGCTCAACGACTTATGCCCAGCAGTAAGCAACCATGAATGAGCGCGAAGAGCTACCTGTTTTCTCCGAACACGCAACATGTGCTGTGAACTGCGGTTTGCAATCTCTGAGACGCTGGGGTGTACATTGCTGCATCTCGGTTGTGATTGCTATGCTTTACATCACAGTCAAACTCAAAGGCTTTACTTCGTAGCCACCCTTGGGCCACGTTCACACATGACAAATCTCACATGCCCACACTCATCGGCACTGGCAGATCATGATCTTCTGCACTCCTCCTCAGGCATACCGTCCGGTTCGCCTGAATGTTTGTCAGCGATTCCACTGATGGATCAGGGCCGATGTACGCTCTTTATTGTTCACTTCGTAGTAGTGCAAAACATGACGACCTTGTAAATCTTTATGGCGCCATAGCCACAAAACATATTTCCACTGTCGAACTGTTGGACTCTGAGGACTTCCAGCTAGTTCTGCTAGCCGAGCACCAAGTCGCCGGGCTAAATCTTCCTTCAGACCAGATACTTGCAACCCTTCTGTCCTCAGCCCTTCCTTTAGGCATTCACACGTCATCAACTTGCACACGTCTTCACATACACGATGAAGTTCACCTAGAGGTACATCATGATTTGTTCCAGGCGTCCACGGGCTTGAGGTAGTTCTGGGTGAGGTCAACCTTCGTGGTGGAGTTGGTGTTCTTAGTCTTGGGGTTACCGACCTTCTCCTCAACTCATGCTCCCTAGAGCCTGACTGGCTCGTAGAGGGTTGCGCCTCTTCCCTCTGTTGCGACAGAGGTTCACTGGGGTAAGTTGATCTCCCTGACGAAGATGATGATGGTTGCAATACCCGTAGTCCATCACCCTCCGACTGCAACCTCAACAGCTCTTGCTCAATGGCCGTAGTAGTTGCTTGCTGAAGCTTCCTCAGTCGTCTCAACTTTCTCGCACTAGACCCCGGCGTCCACTCGTAGTAGAACTCCAAACAGCACCAACGTACGGCCTCCCACACCATGAGTCCCCCGAGTAGCATGAGCAGGACCATCATAACTCCGGCCAAATCCCAATCGACCTGCAATCCTTGTCCTCGTCTTGCACGGGGTCGATCTTCTTCTTCTTCTGCGGCCTGAACGGACACCATAAGAATGCAGCAAACCATGGCAACCAGCAACCTAGTGGACACCGTAGGTACTGACAACGAACACACCACTTTTGCATCATACTCTTTCACTTTCCACCAGCGTAGTAGATCATCTGTTCTTGCTGATGAGAGCGGCTTTGTTAGTAGATCAGCTGGTTGTCGTTCTCCCGGGCAATGCACCGTTTCCAGCAGCCCTTGTGCCAGTTGTTCCTGCAACCACCCTGCTTTTATTCTTAGGTGTCTTGTCCTCCACGAACTTGTTCCACCCGAAATACTCAAGGCTGACGTACTGTCCGATGCAATTTGACGAAACATCACTTGCTCGCCTGCATCTGAGAGAATCGCCTCCACACCCTTCATCGCCACGGCCCCATCGAGCATCGCTAACAACTCTGCCTCCGCTGTAGAGAGCGTGATCATGCTCTGCTTCCCGCTCCTCCACACCACTGGAGTTCCCCCGTAGGTAACAACCCATCCGCCATGAGATCGTAGTCCTTGTGGTGCGTAGGCCGCGTCACAAAACATGACAAGCCCCTTTTCTTCCCATTTTATCACCAGGGCATAATCCATGGTCCGTTGCAAGTAACCAAGTGTTTTGAACCCGATTTGCAACACCTGTCTTGGAAATTTGGAACACATTGATGCCATCATGGAAGTCGTGTAGGATACATCCGGACGTGTCCTCTGAGCCACCCATAACACTTCACCAGTGATCTGCTGAGCTCTGCGAACCATCTCTTCATCATGATCTTCTTCTTTATCTGGTACGGTAGCCAAATCCTTGGTGATTGGTACTTTGTCGCGGTGGGTGCTCTTCACTTCATGAAGACGAAGTAGCTCTTGAATGTAGCCTTGCTGTAGCACATAGATCTCCTCCGAGGTCTCTGACTCACGACGTAACTCCATTCCCAAGAACCTCACATCGCTTCCCGGACCCAAGAACGTAAGCTCGGTCGTATCCCACACACGCTGAATAATGTCGCTGATTTCCATGACAATGTCCCTCGGTCCACATATGAGGTAATCATCCACGTACACGACTATTACTGCGCACACCTTCCCACAACTATCTCTCATAGTCCACCACGATGTGATAGCTCGACCTTGTTGCCATCTCAACCCACGCGGAGCCGGCAAAGACCTCATAGTCTCATCTCGGAAATTACACCACAACATCGGTGCCTCCCGTAAACCATATAACGCCCTCAACAAAGCCCAAAGTTCGAACTTCACAGTGATGCCCATCAGCTCTAATAGTCGCGGAGGCTGTGCAACCACAATAGGGTCTCCCTTTCTTCTTCCCAGAGGAGTCTTCAAGAAGGCAGCAGTGATGTCCAGAATCCCTATCATCCACCTGTTCTTGCACGTCAAAACAAGTGCCGATCTGACTGCTTCCGCGGGCGCCGTCTCTGCATAAAGCTGTAGCACTTCACTCATTGCCATGTTACCACAGATAACGAGCCTCGCTTTTCTTTTGAACCATGTTCCACGGTCTTCTGGCTTGGCCTGGTCGTTTGGCTTCACGGTAAACACGAACTTCATAGGAAGCCTCTGAACGCCAGGAGTATTCAACCACTCCCTTCTGCTGTCTGTCCCTGGATGGAGACGCTGTATTCCTATCTCAAGGCCCTTCACCTCCTTTTCAATCGCAGGTCTCCACTTCTCCAGGTTGGCATACACCTCCTCCGGCTTGATATTATATGTCACATCCAAAGGGGCCTTCAAGTTTGCCAGGACAACCTCAATGTTCTCTGCGTAAGTCCCTCGGTTTTCTGGATCCTTGGCCTTTTTACCTGAGCATCCTCCGAATCAGCAATCTTCACCATGCCTTCCTCAATGCCCAAATACATTGACCATTCGGACTCCATTGACCCACCATCGGCGTCCTCATCAACCTTCATGGCCTGTATCTGTGGTTTTTGTTCACGTAGATCCCCATGATACTCCGGAAGTTGTGACAGTGGTATAGGAAAGCCATGATCGTGTAGCACCTCTAGATCTTCTTGTGACAACTTCCCAAGGCAATCTGGCGTGTAGGCAATCAGGGCAATTCGAACTCCTTCCCACGGTGCCACTTCATGGTGTCTCTGTGGGCCAAACTTTAGACAATGACCAGGTTCCAGAGGCATTAGTTGACCATACATTTTCTTGGTCGACACTTCACGTTCTTCAATTACTCCTTGAAGCACATCACCAGACTTCAGCTCCACCCATAGTTCACCTCCACGATCAGGACAGACAACTGGGATCACATAGTTCTGGGTCTGGTAATCGTTGTTGAAGTCCTTATGCATTTCCCGTTGGGCATTATAGGAAACCATCACAGACGTGAACACTGCCTCGGGCTCCAGTTCAACAACCAACCTAGTCATCACCTGGGTCAGCTCTGGGAATTCCCTCACGCCGTCCAACCATCCCACAATGCCTCCATGTCGATACACACCGAACTTCTTGGCATCAAAGAATCCCTTTTTGGCCAACTGCTCAACTAACTCCAGCGCTGCCAAAGTGCACCAATTGCTCAGGAGAGTTAACGACCTCCCTTTGATCAGCTTGTAGAGCTCCTCCGGGTTCTTGGCCAGCGCCCGCATCTCAACCCCACTAGGGTGAGTCTTCTCCACAACTCTCCTTCTAGGCTTTGGTGGTTCATCTGCCCGGTACGTGTCGACTGGACCACCAGGCTCTGTTAAGCCTGCCTTCACATGCAAAGTATGTAGGAACTTCTCCCGCTCGCCCTCTTGGGCCTCAACGTACACAAGGTGGCCATTATGGACAATGGTGCTCAGTCCCACGTACTTTCCCACTGTCCACTTGCTCTCAAGACCGTGTTCTCTTCGAAGTGGTCCTGCCTTGTCGAAGGCCTTTTTCCGGAGGTAGACTGGCGCACCAAAAGGTGCTGCTAGGCGTGATTGCCATCCTAGCACCTTGCCCCGCTGCTCTGCTGCAACCATGGCAGCCGCTACTGGCCACAACCTTACTGGCAACGACGCCGCTTTCAGGAACGTCCGTGTTCTGTCTTTTATCCATCGCACTGTACTTTCTGCATGCCCGTTGCTTTGTGGCACACTTGGTCCTGACCATGTCCCAAACACCCCTTGGTCACGTAGCCACGACCTGAACTGGTGATTGAAGAATTCGCCCTTGTCCCCGTGGAAACGATACACTGGCAGCCCATGCATCTGCAAATACAGCACGATATCTTGAAGTGCTCTTCTCACGGAGTTGGACTGATTGTTGGGTAGGGCTACTGCAAATGTAAGGAAAGTCATTTCTGGAGGATGACATTCTCCACCCACCATCACTGTGTCCTGCCCTCCGGGTTCTTCCTGATCGTCACCATCGTGTTCGCGGCTCTCATCCTCCGGGCCTTCTGGTTCAGAGGGTTCATAGTCTAGTTCTTCTCCATCCGGAACCTCTTCTGGGACCAACTGTACGGTGGCTGCTGGGACCTCCTCCTGATCTTTTGATTCGGCGAAGAACTCCTCAACCTTATCACTGGGTTCAGGTTCTCCTGCTGGTACACCATGATCACCTGGTGGTTCAGCGTCTGAATAGTTAGCGATGAACTCCTTAGGCACCATATATTTCGCAACCAACAGGTACTTGAGGTTTTTACCCATAGCTCCTTTTGATGTCGAATCCAATCCCGGACTCAACGGTCCTGCCATGTCTGCAGTCAACACGTAAGCTTCAGGATGATGTACACGGCGGTGCTGTCTTCCCAGGCCTCTGCCCATCACGCAAGTTGCACAATCTTTCCTATACGTAGCATGGTTCGAATCCACATGCTCCTTCCACTGTGCTTGTGTCATAGCACACATCCGAGGAACGCATCGAGGATCCCCGTCCCAAAAACTCAACGCAACCACCAATGCACGCACCAGTCCTGGAGCCCACACGTGATCATGCTCACCACGATCTGGAAGAGGATCACCTTCAGGTACCCGAACACCATCTAGTGACATCAGATTGTTCAAGTTTGTTCCCAACGTAGTCCGATTCCTCGTAGCTCCGCCCATTGCCCCTTGATCAAAGGATACCGTGCGCAGTTCTCCTTCACGCTGAAAACTTTTCCACAATCTTGTGTCCCAGAAACTAGCCTTCGCATCGAGTGTATGGACACCCGCGAACTCCTCCCAACGTGGTCGCTGTACACTTTCCCAGTAGGATGCCGTTTGGGACCATGACGCTAGGCCCCCACGCTCATGAGCTCGGTACTCCTGGTCTGCAGCCTCGACTCGTTGCCGTTGGGTCTCTCGCTCCTCTTGGGTAGTTCCCTCTGGATACTCTAACACAAAGCCAACGTCTCGATCCTTTGTAGAGCCCGACCCATTGAGTTCACGGCCCACCTGAGCAACCACATAGAGCCACATCATTCTTGCCACAAGCTTCACGTCCTTAATGTCACGCTGCCCTTTGCCAGAATATTCACAAGAGCGGCCTGGGGGAGCTCCCATCACCACATCAACTTTTCCTTCTCGGGCTCCCCAAAGTAGCATCCTCCACACTTCATTTCTCATCAAATTGTGACCAGCGCAGCGATTGACATCGAGCTCAATGACACTGGTATCATTCTGATCCAACTTGAAAAACTCCCAGTGCCCCTTTGTGCCCGCGAACACATGGACAATCCAGCGCTTAGATGACCACAACTTTCTTCTTTGAGGCCTGGACATGAAGCCCACTTGCTTCATAATATCCCATCCAGACCACAGCCCTGCCGCAGGGATCAACTCCGAGAGGCACTCTCCAGGAAGGTCAGCAAAGAACGGCGCATCACGCACCGCACGTAGGCCTGACTCAAAGCTCCCTTTGGACACGTAGTCGTAGAGGTAGTGGTTCCAGTGACGCTCCATTGCCAAGGCTGATACACTCAGCTTATCTGCTGTCGCCAGCACCTCGTTGTTCAAAAGGTCCAACTTGCGGTCCTCTAACCTCGCAATCAACGTGAGCGCTTCCAACTCGGAGATCTCTGGACAACCCGATTCCGTCCTCATAGGCAACCGCGTGCCATCTGGAGCCGTCAAGTAGCACGCTTCTGGTGTCCACGTCATACTGTAGCCGAGCGTTTGGATAAGCTGGCCCATTGGCACAATTGTCTGTGCCTTCACATCGCCTTCCTCTTCGGGTTTGATCACCTTCTCCCGATACGGCATCAGCAATGTACCGGTTCGTGACAGTCTCATAGTCAGTTGGTGACTCCCGGCCAACTGAACTGCCACCTCTTCAGCCTCCATCCACTCCTCCGGGGACTTGGCCGTCCTCAGACTGTGCGTCGCCCCTGAATCCACAAGAGCCGTTGTAGTTCCCCTCATCGAACACACACGAAGATCCTTCACCCTCAACACCTTCATGGTCGGTCGCGTCTTTTCTGGTGAAGTATCTCCACTCGGCTCCGCAGTCTGCGCTTGCACAACCTGCTGTGCCGCCTGCATAAGTGTCTCAAGCGTCCATGGGGTACCTTGTACCGGCTCACTCGCTCCCGTTGAACCCGTACTCGTAGTAGCCACAGTCGCCATAGTGCTCGTCGGTGTCGTAGTGGATGCAAAACTCTTGGGAGTTCCTCCAGTGGCCTTGGGATTTGGCCGTCCCACTGGGCAGTCTTTCTGCCTGTGGGACTCCGCCCCACACTTAAGGCACTTCCGGGAACGGGTTTCCTTGTCCATTCCCACCATGCTGTGGCTGTAACTACATTTCTCTCCTCGGCGACAACCTCCCGCCTTCGCAAAGTACCTGCACAGCTCACTGCCAGTGGGCTTTGCGCCCGCGTCCCTTGCCTTTGGTTGTAGAACGGGCTCAACTGCCTTGAGCGCCACCCCAGTTGCCGTAGAGCTCTTGGCCGTCATCATAGCCTCAAGCTCCGCCTGTAAATGCCGCTGGTACGCCTGGACTTGGTCCGTCGATGGACACGAATCCAACCTCAGCGTGGTCCGCAGCATCGAGGTTCTGAATGCTGCGTCTGCTGACAGATTTATGTGCTTATCCGTCAGGTTCAAGAGTCCACGTGCCAGCACCGACGCATCAGGAGGTGCCATTTTCACTGCACGGCACCGCTCTAGCCAACGTGGCCATGCCCTCACAGCCTTCAAAGCTGCCTCCAAGGACTCTCCACCTGCGTAGTCCCCCGGGTTCTGCAGTCTCTTCAACACATCTTGGCGCTCTGCACTGCCCCCGGGCTGATAGAAGGTGAACGTCCTGAAAAGCATCCGCACACAGTCCTGTGTCAATCTTCGTGACACGATGTCCACTCGAAGGTCCTCGGGCATTGATGTAAGGAGCATAGTAGAAGCCCTTGCGTTAACACGTAGCCATCGTCCTGACGTCCACTGCTCGCTGCCCTGGGGTTCTACTCCAATACGCTCCAAAGGTGAGGCCGCCAGCCAACGCTCATATGTAGACTGAACCAAATCCACGACCCCTTTCCACCAGATCGAACTTGACTCACTTAAGTCTCCCATCACCGAAGACGAGACTTCAATCCAGTCCTGGAACATTACTGCCGCATCCGCACCAGTTCTCACTTCCGGCATAGACATCAAAGCTATAGTGCCCGGCTTCACCACATCCGAACTAGCCGCGTTAAGGGTTGCCTTAGATAAAGCTTGGACTTGTAGTTCTTGTAGTTGCTGCACACCCTTGGCCAATGCATCAAGCACCGGCGAGCCTGGTGACTCGCGTGTCTCCTGTCGCGGCGGAGGTGTGGGGTTGCGGCCTCTTCCCTCCCACCAAGACCGAAGCAGTCCCGGAGCATCATCAGCCGGCCTTGACTGAAACCCAGACTCTCCAGCATTACCTTGACCCTGCCCTCGAGGAGCCCAGCCTGGATCACCTTGACTTTCGGATGCACCTCGAGCTCCTTGGTGATGCTGTGGTAATCCTCGATCTGGTCCTGCCGATACTCTCAAGCTTCGTGGGTCTTTAGAGTCTAATCGAGGTAATGTTCTGGAGGTACTGGTTGACCTTGTAATAGTCCTGGATCCATAGATGCATATGACAACTCTCCCAATAATCCCCGGGGTTGCACCATTGTATGCTCCTCCTGCCCATTGCGATCTTGATCCACTCGCAATTGGGCCCGCGCTTCCGCAAGTTCATGTCTCAAGCGCTGATTCTCATCCCCGAACTCACGGAGTTGACCCATGATCCCTTGGAGCTGACGCTGCACCTCCGCCTGGATAGCCTCCGCCGGTATTGAAGACGACGACGGCGGCGAAGGTGCCGACGGAATCGCCCTTGTCCTCGCCGGAGATCTCAGGCGAAAGGCTTGCCCCCCCGGAGGGGGTGAGGCGTATGCTGGGCTCCCTCCAGGGAACGGACTGGGAGCCAAATCGCTCGCTTGCAAGGCCGGCGCACCCGGCTGCAGGAAGTTTCCCAATCTGGAAACCCACTTTGGAACCTCAACACCCGCTAGCCATGCAGGTTGCACCACGGTCCTCACGCTTGCCACTGACTTTGGTGTTGTGAAGCCTCCACCATTCTCCGCAGCTTGTGGTACTGGCGTGCTCATATCCAGCTCAGATCGCCCACCCAGGTCTGGTGTCGTAAGAACTACATTGCGCTCTCCCTGCACCGCCTTAGCTGTGGTCTCCAAAACCGGTCGCATCCTCCCAGCATCCATGTTCCGCATCCCAGAAGACGCCGCCTCAGAAGGCCCCATCTCCCGATCATGCTGCTGCGAGACCGATCCACTTGGCTTTGCCACTGGACCAGTTCCATTCTCTGCTTTCGCCCTCACCGAGCTAGATGGCATAGGCACCTCCAACGTCCCCACACCATTCGGTAACGCAGCTTGAGCATCTTGGGCGCTCATAACCTAGAAAACTGCAACACTGCAGTCTCTGTGAACTTCTGGTTCAGCTCAACGACTTATGCCCAGCAGTAAGCAACCATGAATGAGCGCGAAGAGCTACCTGTTTTCTCCGAACACGCAACATGTGCTGTGAACTGCGGTTTGCAATCTCTGAGACGCTGGGGTGTACATTGCTGCATCTCGGTTGTGATTGCTATGCTTTACATCACAGTCAAACTCAAGGGCTTTACTTCGTAGCCACCCTTGGGCCACGTTCACACATGACAAATCTCACATGCCCACACTCATCGGCACTGGCAGATCATGATCTTCTGCAAAACCCTAAACCCTAAATCCTAGACCCTAGACCCTAGACCCTAAGCCCTAAACCCTAGACCCTAAACCCTAAACCCTAAACCCTAAACCGGCGCTCATGGCAGATTTTTGCGGGCCTTCGCCTGCCGAATCCACACCTGGCGGCGGCGGGGTGGGGCGTCGGCTTTGCAGCTTGCTTCGGGGTAGTGGGTTTAGGGTTTTAGGGTTTAGGGGTTTAGGGTTTAAGGTTCTAGGGTTTAGGGCTTTAGGGTTTAGGGTTTTAGGGTTTAGGGCTTTAGGGTTTAGGGTTTTAGGGTTTAGTTTGAGGTTCTAGGGTTTAGGGTTTTAGGGTTTAGGGTTTTAGAGTTTAAGGGTTCAGGTTTCAGGGCTCCCTTCAAGGTTCTGCAGGGTCAGGGTTCTGTGAAGCTTCGGGACTAGGGTCCGGACAAGGGTTCGTCTTTCAAAGGATCTGTAGGGTTTGGGGCTGTAAAGTAAAATCCAGAAAGTTGGAATATGATTATCCTAAGCCCTTTATGGTAAATTATAGGGTATCCTACCCTGAAACCATATTCCAACTTTCTGGAGTTCCCTGTAGGCTCAAGGTAAGGGTTTGATGTAGCATCACACGGCCAAAACCCTCAAACCTTCCCGGGATTCTGCGTTCTCACCCCTAAATCCTAGACTTTGGCCCCAAGCCTAGCATCAGAGCCCGAGCCGCGACAGGGATAGCAAGCCTGCACAAACGTTTAAGTTTTGGGTGTAGGCCTTCTAGGTGCTCTAGGATTCTAGGATTTGGGAGTTTCCGAAAATGGGGGACCCCCAAAACAACATACCCTAAAGAGTAGGATCCTCCTTATGAAAAGGACCCCAAAATCTGGCACCCCATTTGTTCTGAAACTCCCCTTTAGCGTTCCCCTCTCCTCTGCTCGACTCGACTCGCCTCGTCCAGGGCCCCAGGGCCGAACTAGCGAAATCAGATGGGTAGTTGAAGGATCATGGGACTTGGTAAGTAGGGTTATAGGGGTCCCTTTTAAGGGATCTATAGGGGTACTATAAGGGTGTAGGGTTTAGGGTCTATTTGGAGGATCATGGGACTTGGCAAGTAGGGTTATAAGTCCCTCATTTGGGCTTATAAGTAATTATAAGTACAGTTACCGTAATTATAACCCTAGTTACTAAGTCCCATGATCCTTTAAGTAGTTGTAGAATTCTATAAAGGTAATCCCCAAAAGGAACCACTATGGGGCCTTCGGGTACAGTAATAGGGCATAATATGGGTAGTTGTCAAAATTACGGTCCCTTTTTTGGGTACCCTAAATATTAGGTGCCGTATTATATTAAGGACCAGATGGCGAGTGCTAAAGCCGCTAAAAAGCTCAATACAATCCTTCTCAACAAAGAACGCAGTCCTCTTTTGCTCTACAAACCTACAATCTTGTCCGCTAGAACCCCAAAAAGAAAGCAAAAACTAATTGAAGCTCCGTAAGAAAAGCCCATGAAAAGCCCATCCCCTTCTCAAAGACGACCATGCACCGACCCATCCCCTTTGTCAGGTCCTAAACCCTAAACCCCAAACCCCGCCTCCAGGGCATCCGCGTCCTCGGCTTCGAGGGCCAAGTCTCCGGCCAGCTCGAGCATCTCGAGGTCCTCCCATGTCACGGGAGCTTCCGAAAATCAGGGGTGCCTTGTTCAAAGGAACCCTAGAGCTCTCTCAAAGCATACTGACTTAGGGCTTCAAGTTCCAAGACCTGCTAGCAAGCTAGAACTAGAGAAAAATCCAGAAACAACTAACAACAGAGCCAAACGCTCCCTACCCTCTGACAGAAACCCGCACTGAAACAAATCCCGAAACCAAAACTTACGACTGCAAGCCAAGATGCTAAACAGCACTCTATTTAGCCTTGCAGAACTCGTTGTTGAAGTCTTGCAAACTGTTTTAAACCAGGGCGTTGCGTGGGATCCAACAAGTTCCGTTCTAAGGCATCACTAGGGTTTTGTCAGAGTCAGGGTTCAAGAAGCTTCTCTGATGGCTGGGAAGGCTTTACCAAGATCTCCAGAAAAAAGTGTTCTCTAAATTTAAAGCCCCTTTCTGGAAATAAGGCGCCACTCTCTATAACAAGCAACCCTATCCTATTTTGCAGAAACCCCATATGGTTCCCTGACCCACCTTAACCCCAAATAACCTACCCTTTTCAGGTTTCACAGAAGGAAATCATATATTAAGGAAGCCGAAAAAGACAGTTTCTAGGGGTCCAGGTAAGCCCTGATTCAGAGAACCCCCACATGGTTTCTAGACGACCTTCCCAAACAGGCCGGTCCTCAAAAGGATCCCATTCTTCGGGCGCCTGGAGAAAGTCTGAGGTTTAGGTTTTAGGTCTTATGGCTTGATGGGGTTGAGGGCTTTAGGTTTTAAGGTATGAAGGGTTGCGGCTTAAATTTTAGGGTTAAGTGTGGCACTCTTTTTCTACTGGGGAGTTTCTGCAAATGTGCAACTGGTAGGGCTCCGCTTTGGTGGTTCATGACCCTAGCTACGATCCACATTCCGGGTTCGACGAAACTTCTCTGCCAACTTACGAAGATAATGCTTTTCAGTACCGCTTTGGAGCGACACCGTCCAGGAGTGTCGATGAGGCTGCTCAACAACCGTTATACTGTGTAGGGGATGTCTTAAGGGTTTCGGGGTTGCTGTTACAGGATTTGGTGGCTGAGCAGACAAGGCTCTGGAGAATGGTCGTAACTCTGAACGGAACAACCTAAAGCACAAACCCCGAAGTCCTAAACCCTGAAATAGCAGGCACATCCCACACGTGCTCCGAAGCTCAAGTTTCCAACCGCTGCCCATACCTCCGAAACTGGAAGGGTCCACGTAATTTTTTGGGCTTGGGTGTTCGTGGCTTCTAGGGTTTAGCTGCCTAGGTGCTTAGGAGTTGGGGGTCTAAGGCTCAGATGAAGAGATTAAAGGTCTAGGACTCGGAATTTAGGTCGGGCTCTTCAGGGGTCAGCCTCGCATCTCACTTACGAGGGCACGTCCGACACAGTGGCTTCTCACCTAGTGCCCATCCTCCTCCTCCTCCTCCTCCTCCTCCCCCTCCTCCTTCACCCAATGTACTTGGAGGATCAGGGGACTTGGTAAGTCAGGTTATCGGTATCCTAATTGGGATTGTAGTAATTATAACTTTAGTTAGTTGCCTCATTTATAACCCCCAGGGTACTACGTCCCATGATCCTCCAAGCAGGAGCTTTCATAGAAGAACCCTTACATCAACCCCTCCCTCGGCTGCTTGAACTTCCTTCTGTTGATGATATGAATCCTGCATTACCTTAAGGGCCCTAAACTATGGGAATTATGGTATATTATACATATCTACATATATATATATATATACATATATACATATATACATATTCCGTATTATGGGTAATGCAGGATTTATATCACCAACCGTTCCACACGATCCCACCTCTTGCCCACTCTGTTTTAAACGGTCTCGAAAGAGAAATCTGCAATGCAAAGGGTTTTGTGAGGTTCACGACCCCTGAACCCTAGGCATCCCTAGACCCTACATTGAGCTTGAGCAAGATTTTGCAGGGTGTTAAGGGCTTCGAAGCTTTTCTTGAAATCCAAACGGGGGGATAGAAGGCTTCTAATGTCGAAAAACCACATCCCAAGAATCTAAATCCTAAACCGAGTATGCTTTGCACTAGCCTCGAAGCCCTAAACCTGACAACCTACAGCCTTTTGGTAATCCCTACAAGGAACGCCAACAAGATGCCTTTGGCCCAACTTCGGCCAGTTCGTAGTGCGTCGTCCTGCCCTGACATCCGGGTAGCTTTCCGACAGGGGAGTTTAGGAATCAGGGTTGTTTTTTGCTTTTTGTTGCGGGCCCTTTTCCGACTGCAGGCACCAGAAGGAATACCCAGGAATTAGGGTTAAGGGTTTGGAGTTTGGGAGTTTAGGCATTAGGAGTTGGGGTTTAGGGTTTAGGTTTTCGTGCTTTGGGCTTCAGGCCCAACTCGCAAGAATCCCGGCTTCAGCCAGCAGGCTGAGAGGTGCACCAATGCTCCAAGGGTAAAAGTAGGGACCCTTAATAAGGACCCCTAATAAGGACCCCCTGGGTATAGCCATTATATGCCCATTATATAGCCCATTTTAGGGTAGGGGTCCCCATTAAGGGTCCCTCCTTTTCCCCTTTGAAATGATACAATGGATCTAAGCGAGAGAACCGGCGAAGCAGGATCCGACCGGTTCTCCAAAAGGGTTACTTTTGTTTGTCAAAACAAATTCAAAAGATCGCCCTAAACCAGGGCCATTGAGAATTCGGATTTGGGGATGTTGAAACTTGCGACTTGTGGCTTCACGCGTCAAGGACATCGGGTGTATGGATGGCTTGCAGGGATCCTCATTTCTTTGGTAGCTCTGGGATTCTTTAGCTTTGTAGCGGCGGGTTGTGCTGGCGAGCAGGCTTTCGGGCGTAGGTCTGGAAACTTGAAGCTGGAGGCTTGGGTTTCACGCACAGCCCTTAAGGCGGACGTCTCTCATACGTAATGTAACTACTATCACTGCTCTGGGAACGTAGATGAGGGCCCTGGGCCCCATCCAACACACTACACACCCCAACCCGAAGCGAATGGTGCTTCAAGCTCCTCTGTAAAGCATTGCTCGACTCCTCCAGCCTTCTTACCAGCCCGAGCCGCCTTACGCCCACCCACCTACTGCGCGCAGTACCGCTTTCAGAACGGCCAGGCGCTTGTCTAACAAACCCAGCGTCCAGAACCACAGAAAAGATTCTCCAAAGGCATTGGGTTGGCGGGCTTTGGGATTGAGGTTTCGGGCTTGGGGGCTCAGGGTCTAGTTTACTCCCACTAAGAGCTTAGAAACGATCTTCCGCACCTCTTTCGCATCGGTGGGATCCGTAAACGGATCCCAGGCTGCAAAGCCGGGAGTTTCCTCAGGACGTACTTTACGGTTTCGACTCCTGCAAAGGTTTAAAGCACTAAACTGCAGCTCTAGGCAGACAGGAAGCGCTTTCGGCTTGTACCTGAAGACTCAAGGCTTCACCCTGTGGACTAAAAAGTCGAAAGCCTTGTGGGTGCAGGACTTCAGGGTTAGGGCTTCAGTGTTTAGGGTGCTTAAAGCAGTTAACTTCGAAGTGAGCTCTTGGCAGTTCGTGTGTCGATTCAGATATATTCAGATTCTTCGATGCTATGACTTGGTGAAGACTCGCCGTCGGGTCATGGATATCAAACGATCCATGATTTATAGTCGCGAAGACGTGCCAGAATCAGGTCAAGACTCTGACGGCTGCCCCATGACTTGTCGAAAGCTGGTTTCAAACATTTGCACTGCTACTATGTGGAACCTGATGAACGATCATGAACATGGCGCAGCGGCATATGTCGATGTTTGGTTTGACTACCGGCCAAAGACGAGAGTCGGAATGTCGGGTCGTAGCCACGGGAGCAACAGCCTTACCGTCGCTGCTCTTAGCTGCAACTGTTTGCGGACAGCTTCTGGCTGCAACAGAACACCAGCTAGAGGACAACCACTGCAGGTCGTAGCATCAAATCCTCCATTGAAGCGCCCAGAGCCCCAAATGCCAAGCATCCAATCGCCTACGCCCCCTAAGAAAACCAACGTCAAACCTTGGACAAAAATCACAGTTGCGCCAAAGCACCTGCAGCGCTGCGTTTGGCGATCCCATGGTTCGAAGCTTGAGTTGAACGAGTCTTATAGGCTTTTACAAAGTTGTTATACAAATGCTGCAAGTGCTGCATAAAAGCTTTGTAAGGTTGCGGGAAAGTTTTATATGAGTTTGACGACGGAGAGCTGAAGGTGCCGGGGTCAAGGCGGCTGAAGGCTTTGAATTGTGGTTGTAAAGCGTGAGGTTTAGGGTTTCAGGGTAATACCAGGCGTTATAGGGTTTGGGGCTTTGTAGTTTTTGGGTTTGGGTTTGGGAGGGAAGTTCGACTTGAGGAGTTTCACTGCAAAGTGAGAGTGTGAGCTTGTGCCAATTGGAGGCAACGAAATGACCTGCTATCAACCCTGTAATTCCAAAACCGCTACCAGCGCTGGACCGTGTGCCGGTGTGGATTGTATTCTAGTTTTCAAGCACTGCTTCGGGCTTCCCCTGTTACATTCGTGCTTTGCATCACGACTTCTCCGCATGTCTGTGGCTGCTATCCATGGTAGGGTTCGTACTCCAATCAACCATTCGTCGGCGCTGATGCGAAAACCACGTTTGCAGCATACGACCCGATCGGGTTGGTGCTTCTTTTTGCGTAGGTGGGCCTCAGGACAGCAGTTAGACACGCACGGTCTAATCAAGTCGGAATGGATCAAAAACCCGCATAAAAGCTGAAACCTACGCTAGAAAATGCAGCTACCGCAGGAGTTGAAAGGCAGCCGACGTCACTTTCAGCAGCAACTCGGCAATGTTGCAGCGCAACAGTGGATTGGCAATCAAGCACACACTTGCGCACATATAGAAACGAATTCAAGCAGCTGGAGCACCAGCCGCGGTTTTCGTCAGGATTTAGCAACAAAGTTCTTTTCCACGCTGCCCAACAAAGTAAAGATTATGGCAACGAACGACAAACACTTATTTACTTTTTGCATTAAAGTCTCCTGACCAAGGTGTCAAAGTACAATCCAAAAAAGTCCGCGCTCGAAAAAATGCGCAATGCATGTTGCTGCAGCATGTGTGTCCAAGTGATTCATTTCCAAACGTATGAATCGATCCTCACTGTCAAAATGGATGCTGGCAATATTTTGCAAACAACAAATAAAAGTAGCCTATAAGAGTGGTTACAAAAACCAACAATCAATCTTCTGGAAGTAGAATTTTCCACGCAATGAAAAACAACCATCTTCAAGTAAAAACACCAGAAAGAGCTGAACAACGACCGGTTGACCTAAAAACGATCAATGAAATTGAAAACCCAGGAAAAGTGCTGAAACCTGCATTTTGGAAACTTTTAGAAACATTGGCACGTGTCCTTGTCCTCGCGCGGCGGGGACTGCGAGCCCAGGCGCGCCAAGCCGTACGATCGGTAGAGGTCTTCCCAACGAATGAGAGTTTGGTGGAGTGAAGCGTGGAGCTCGAGGGCCGCAAGGATGCCCCACCAATGGGATGGAGCCGCTATGATAAGAGGGCCCGTGGGCCGCGTACTGCCTGCCGTGAGCCTCTGGTGGGCGTCCTCGCCTTTCATGGTGAATCTGCCAGCCTTGTCGACTAAGCAGATGTCCACAGCCCCGGTGGTGCCGTCACACACCGTAGTGGTGAAAAGGTCAACGAAGACACCTAGTTCATGACGGTGACCAAAGAAAAACTCGTACAAAGCTTTCGTCTGTGCTTCAGACGTCAACCTGCCGGGCGGGGGGAGGCTGGGTAAGTGCAGCGCAATGAAAGCCGAGAACGACGTACCCTCAGCAACCACCCGGTGCGCGGCACCGGTATCTGCATTGGCCTGGCGCGGGTTGCTCAATCCCAATCCATGCTTCAGTAGTTCAAACACCCTGGTGGTTGGCGTGACGACGGTGATTTTCCGTCCGGCCTGCACCGCGATGCGATGCCCACACAAGTTGTAAGCCAGCACCAGGAGGACACAAAACCACTCGACCACCATGCCCCTTTGAGCAGCAGGAGAGGCCTGCCTGGGGAGTCTCACGAAGTAGACTCCCAATTGGTGCATGCCATCCGCCGCAACCCGCTGTGCCTGCCGCGCCGGAGTGTCCGCAGCTAGCTCCCCAATGGTGATCGGATAGGGCGAGGAGGCAGTCTCCGGAAGCAGCAGATTGGACTGCGGATAACGAATTGCCGTCATCACCAAGTACAGATCAGCGAGCAGACGCGTGGATGCGACCTTGCAAAGCGAGGTTCAAGCACACGCCGTTGATTGGCGCGAGCCCTTCTGCTTGCAGGGCTGAACTAGCCGGCTGCCGACAGGCGATTGAGATAGCACAAAAGCGCCTCACTGTGGGAGGGTGCCTGATGGAGGAAATCCACAGCGATGGCTGCCGGGGTAAGGCGACCTGGGCGCGGGCAAGGCACATCGCCGACACACACAATGCCGGAATAGGGAACGAAGTATTTCGCTCCCTGGTAGTTCACGCAGCATCCCCGGGCGTCACAAAGATCCTCGACAAGCCCCACCTCAGCAGGGGTGCTCGAAGCAAAAAGACATTCCGAGATAGCCGAGCAAATGGTCAATGTGGTGCCTGGCGGGGGCTCTGCTCCATGATGGCCATCATAGCGATGTCCAAGGCTAGACCAATGGACTGTATGGAGCGGCCCCTCTGGCGAGGTGGACTGTACCAATTAAGCCACGGAGTGCTTGAGGCATGCGCCCCGGGGGATAAGGTGGAGGGGCCAGCTTGACAAGGCCGCGAATTCCGACCGGCTTCGCAGTGAGGCGCGCCAGGGCATTGAGCTGCACTTCACCTTTGCCCCCACCCGTGGGTTGTCGCGGATCTCCTGTACGGATGACGAGCTGGCGACTCGCATTAGCCAAAATCGCGGCAGACGCTGGGAGGCCCTCCTGCTGTCCCTCGTCAATGACAATGATATGCGCATGTTTGAGGAACTCCTTCACTTCATTATAGGAGCGGTATCTCAGCTGGAGGGCACCAGAGCCTTGCGTGAGCAGCAGCATATGCGTGCCAGCGATAACCGGAGAGGTGCGCCGCGTGTCCCTGCCTCGCGTAGCCGGTCGGGTCGTAGCGATGTCACCTAGGCTGGCTGCCATGTGCTCAGCTGCTTCCGTGAAAGGCACATGGTCAAAGTCTGGCTCAATCATTTCCGCATCGCCCGAAACACGCCGAACCACGATCAGCGGGCGCAGCCATTGAGGTGCATCCGCCAGAAGGTTGGTAGCGATGCGCACGACCGCAATGAGAGCCGAATGCTGCTGAGCGGTCCAACACACGCTCTGTTCCAACACGGCATCAATGCAGACAAGGGCACACCACAAGGAGAAAGTTTTGGACGAGCCGGCACAGCCAAGGACGCCCAGCGAGCTGCGTTTGGTGGCGCGCGCCGCCAAGATTGCAGTGATGTGCCCGATGAGGAGGCCGTCGCGGCTAGCCAACTGCCCAGCAATGTGACGGCAGAAAGACTCGCCCATAAGAGCAGCTAAGGTGTGGAATTCAGCCGGGATCAGAGCAGCAGGGATTCTCCAATCGCGCTGGAAGGCCTCGCGTGGATTGGCCCGTTCCGCCAAAGGGAGGCCAAAGGGAGGAGGCCAGTAATCCGCTTGCGGAGGACCACGTACTGCGCCGGTGTCATATCCGGAGCAGACGGGAAGCGCCTTGTCGTCGCTGCAACCTCCACAGCCTGCAGAAAGGCGAGCACAAGATGGGTTTCGGCCGCAAAGTGACACTGTGGCCGTGGCGCAGGCTGTGTGTGTGGTCGAACAGGCATGCCGAGAGCCAGCGGCACCCGCGCCGCTGACATGTTCAGGACCTGCAAGAAGACGTCAAGGGCACCACCCACCTTGACACACGACAGGCTCTGCATGAGATATTCCCAATGGTGCACTCCACCGGCCATGGGCTCAGCTCCCAGGAAAGTGGGCCATTGACTCACTAGGAGATGGGCAGCTGTAGGATTAAGGCGATTGTGGCGTCGCTGTGCCGTGCGCGCCGCTTGCGTTTTCCCACTGACCCTTTCTGGAACCACGGACCTCACAAAGACAGCCAGGAGCTGTGTTTGGCGAAATCCAAGTCGAAGGAGGCAACCCTCAGATGGCGGCCGATTGCCGCTTTAGCGGTGTGAGAACCAGCCAGTGTCGAGGTCCAACGACGGCGGGCTGGGACAAGACAAGCCAAGCACGTATGTGCCAAAGCTGAGGCGATCCTCCACTTGCAAGCGGACCCGTAAGGGTGACGTGAAATTCCGTGTTGTGTCCTGGTGCGACATTCGCCGGCTCTCCTGCCCATTATCCTCCAGCGCTGCGCCTTGGCTGTACACGTGGAAGTGCAAGAAGTCCACTACACGCTCGAGTGACAGTTCACCGAGGGCACGCTGCACTGGCGCAGGCAGAGGGAGACTGACAGGCCGGTCCCCATCGTAGCACCGTGCATTGCGTCAAAGAACCGGCCGTAGCCGATCGGAGCGCGTCCGCAAGGTGTGCCGGCCGGCAATCAAGGGCACCGAGATCCCGCAGCGTGGTCGGCGTTACCCGGTGTGGATAAAGGGCAGCCATAACCTGTCCCACGGCACCTTCCTCAAGGCCTCTGCTGCGGTAAAAGTGAAGAGATTGGAAGGCCCATTCAAGCTCGTCCTCCAAACTGCGCAGAGGCAAGTAGGCACGCGCAGCGGCTACATCCACATACGGCGGCAACGACGGATCGGTCCTCACGAGCAGGTGCGAATAGCTGTGGCACTGAGGGCCAAATAACCCATCAGGCACATTAGACAACCAGTGCATGCCCCCCCCATCACGCAAGCACGGGGCTGAGCAAATGGTCGCCCAGACTGCATCGGAAGGCTGCCACGGACAAAGAGAGTCCTCTTATCGTTCAAAGATCGTGCTTTGTGTTTTGATGTCAATCGTGTTTGAACCTTCAGGGATGAATGCTTGCACTCACACATGTCACATGCAAGAAGTTCAAAGCTCGACGCTATTTTCACACGGTGGGGTAGCAAGTACCGCACACGGCAGATATCTTCGAACTGTCAGTCCTGTGAGACACAAGACTCTTTTCGTCCCCTCCGGAAGGAGAACTAGCCACTCTCAAGCCGTGCACGGCTCACAAACTGAACCTTAGTAAACGGCCTGCCAGTCGAAGACGAACAAGACCGATCAGACTGCGAAGCAGAGAGCCAAGACCCGAACCAGGTCTTATGCACAAGCATACCTGAGTGTCCTCAAACTGAGGTCCAAAGCTTCCTGAATTAGCACAACACTGATGCAATCTATGCACTTACCATGAATCAAATAGGGTGGAGAGGGTGGGTATTTCAAATAAAGCTCTCGCCCGATTCAGGGCTTCCTGCCCCTTCGAGAGGTCAAGCCGCAACGGACGAATGTATTCTTCAACTGGTTTACAGCATGTATGAATGCGGGTTCATGAAAAGGCAGTGTAAAAGAAAAGCCCTAAAACAACAAATCAAAATTGGACTCAGTTCTCTGAGTCATTTTGTCATGTTGTTTTTCTTCGAACGATAAAGCCATATCTTCTGCATGTGTTCAAAGAATGTAACTTATCGCTCAAAGATCGTGCTTTGTGTTTTGATGTCAATCGTGTTTGAACCTTCAGGGATGAATGCTTGCACTCACACATGTCACATGCAAGAAGTTCAAAGCTCGACGCTATTTTCACACGGTGGGGTAGCAAGTACCGCACACGGCAGATATCTTCGAACTGTCAGTCCTGTGAGACACAAGACTCTTTTCGTCCCCACTTCCAGGAGTCGCAGTGTTAAGCAGGTAGATTCGAAACCCTCTTCACAATTGATAACACCGCTTTGGTCGCCTCGACAGACTCGTCTTTGAATCCTAGCCTCTTGACTCTATCAAGTTTCATCCTCGATGGTTCATCAGCCAGATTGGCGGGTGATGCCACTCTCGCATACCACGGCAAGATGCCGTGGACATACTCCAGGAAATTGACTTCATCGATAAGAATCCCCGCGACCCCTTTCTTCGAAGAGCCGGCGATGTATGCATGTCTCGCAGCATCATTATCGATATAACAAATAACTCCAGTCCCAGCAACAGCGCCTGGCTGTTCGTATGATTCTGCGAAAGCAGCCGTCTTTTCGACCAAGAGCTTGAGACCGATCAAAACCCCGAACATTTCTAGCTCATATATGATGGTATGCTCATCTTGCAACGACATCGACTTGGTTTGCTGCTCTGAGATCGGCACGCTGAAGAAGGAGAGTGCCGAACCTGACCCGGTGAGAAGGACCCCCCCCAGGCCTCCAGTTCCTGACTCTGTCTCAAACGCTGCATCGGTAAGGATCATGAAAGTCCTGCATGAAACTTGTCCCACTAGCCTCGGTTGGGCCATGTCAAGGAACTTACCAAACTCTTCGAGTCGTTCCTTGGCCATCGACGAAAGCTTCGACCTGCCAGTGTAGGCATGCTTTGTCACCTCCGTCAGGCACCTTCTTCCCAGCCTACCGAAAAACTGGGCTTGAGCAAACTGTAGCCTACCCCGCAGTTGTAGAGCTTCCTTCTGAGTCATGGTTCCCTTGTCCAGGAAACCTTTGATCGCAGCAGTGAGTTCCTTGCGTCGTTTCTCAGTGTTCCTAACCTTCAGAACTCCGGACCCCGTCTGGTCAAGCTCGAAAAGAACGCCAAGGGCCTCAAAGCTAGTGTTCCACTCCGTTGTCTTATCAGCTGACAGCTTCCAACCTAACAGCTTCATGACTTCATCGAAAGCGTGTGAACACGAACTCCTATCTCCTCCAAGAGCGAGCAGAACAAAGTCGTCGAAATAATTCGTGGTTGGGATTTTGGCCCCTTTGACCAAGATAGTCCAAAGAGCCCTCGCCACTCTGAGGAAAAAGTACACAGCCTTGGTAGAGCCGAAAGGCACAGCTAGTTGTTGGAACAACTTGGGCTTCTCCTCTGCCGGGTCGTAGACCGAGAGGTAAGAAAAGTCTAAGCTTGTATCCGACACCGCCAGTTGTCTGTATGCTCCCTTCAGATCCGCCGTTTTCCCGTACAATGCGTTCAAGTTCTTCTTTCGAGCAGCACTCGAAAGTGTATTTATCAACATAGCAATTTCGTCGATAGAGTGCGTGATGGGCTTTTCAGAGACTGTGACCGTATCGTTGATCAAACTCGATGAATAGTTGTCAATAGGGCGCAGCTTCTCTCCTTGTAGCAAGGGAAAACGGGAGCTGACCAAACATCGTTTCGGCAATGACTCGAAATCATAAGGTCCAGAGAGGTATCCACTCTGTACCTCTTCCATCGTCTTATCCCACAACAGCTGATCGATTTCCTTATCACCCGATGAGCCAGTCTTCGCCCGGATCTGCTGTTTGATTTCATCAGACATCCCCAAAAGCTGTTCAGTGTCCAACCTAGCAGGCTTGAGCTTGGTATCCAGCACCCCAGTGATAGGGATGTCCCCTGTCAGGGTGGCTCCGTCGATGAGTTCCTGAACCACACCCATATCATCATACCCAATGTCTCGCAGCATCTCTTCGAACAACAAGATACGTTTGGGTTGAAGGATCTTCCTTCTGTGATCCGACATGCCAGCTTTCAGCTTCGCTTCCTCTGGTTCCAACTCTTTGGCTCTTCGAGCCCACTTCTCGATGTAATTCTTCCTCTGAGAACGAACCATTCCCGGTTTGTGTACTAAGTCATGAACGAGGTCTCTCAGGTCCTTGTTGCACTTGGATAACTTATGGTATGGGTGTCCAATCTTACCTGCTTTGGCAATGAATTCGATGGGATCCCAGGGGATGCCCACTCGCAAAACTGAGGCTCCATTCAAGTTTTGCATTTCCTGCTGAAGTTGCGGGCTCAATTGCCCCCCTGACTGAGTACGCGACAGAAGCTGGGAATCCTGCGGGAGCGCCCTAAGCTCCGGCAGCACACGGGCGTCGTGAGGGACCCTCCAGTCCTGTTTAAGGCGCTTCGACCCGCCAAACGGATCCTCAACATGCTGTGGCAAAAGGACATAGACCACCAACTTCCACTCAGACACCACTTCCGGCATCGCCCCACGTGGCTGATTCATAGCCGAAACTCGCAACGACTGCATCGGAAGGCTGCCACGGACAAAGAGAGTCCTCATAAGCATGTAGAAGGCGTAGTCGGCATGGAAGTCGCAACAGGGCACCGAAGAGCCAATCTGGCATGCCAACGGCTCCGAGCTCAACCCTAGCAGTCGGGAGGGCTTCCCGCTGCTGGGTAGCGGCCGGGGGACGAGGCGGGGCAGACCCGAAGAAACAGCTGGGCCCCCACAATTTGTGAAGGAGTACTCCGGCCAGCGCCGCTGTGTAGCTACCGGCAGAAAATCCACGAATAATCGGGCACGCTGGTGGAACGCTCACCAGTGCAATACAAAGGGCAGCGAGGCATGCCGAATGAGGCTCCTGCAGGTGAGAACTGCGCCGTGACCGTTCAAGGTATGTGGCAATAGTCGCGGCTTCCGGGCTGGTGACGCCGTTCTTGACGCCTAGCATAGCATGAGCCAACACAATCACCGGCCGCGGCGAAAGTAAAATGCTGGTATACCGGCCCGACGAACTGAGACGCGGATTGGGGGTGACCTCCAACTTGCAGAGGACTTGTTGACCCTACAGCTCCTGGATGTGGACCTCATGGCACGCTTCTACAGAGCCGTCAGTAGGTTCGACCTAGCCAATGCGGATGGTGACGAGCTCCCCCGGACTTGTGTCCCTTCTGCGCACGAAGTGAGTTTCGAATGTTCTGGCGCGAGCACCTTCTCGGTGCCGCCTCGCAATGACACTTGGCAACTCATCTGCTCCAAGCGATGCTACGGTCCGACTGGGTGTCTCACGGAGTCGGTCCCCCGCGGGGGAGAGATTTTTCCCGCCGCGGGTAGGAGGGCCCAAATCCGCCAGCGCGCCCAGGTGCGCATGTGGTGAGCTAAGCATGGCCGCACTTGGCGAAAGGGGAGGACCCCCGGTCCCGGAAAGGGCTCCGGCGCCACAACACAAAATCCAGGGGCGCCCATCAACCCATGGTCTGAGACGGCCCACCACGGCGGGGAGCCTCGCCAGCCCCACAGGGCTCCAGTGAGGGTAGGCAGCGACCTGAGCCGATCAAGCTGGGCGAGCGGAGCCTTGCCATTGCTTCGCACGAAGGCCGGCCCAATTAATGCATCCAAAAAGGCAAGGCCCAGGGAGGCTGCACACGCGACAGGTGTCCGAGCTCAAAGCGAACAAGGTGGAGTTGGCACATTGTTCATGCGCTCCCCTGGCCCACTGCAGGGCCTCCTCATGAGGCTCTAAGGCTTGGCGCAAGGCGTCATCGGGATTAGGTGTTTTCATACTGGCATCAAACACACCCTGTTCGTTGGGGTACCAATAAGGCGCCTGCAAGACCGCGCCGAGGTATGCCCACGCGGTGACAACATCACCGCTGTGCCTTGCCTGGGTGCCAAACAGAGGCGTGCCGGCCAGCAGCTCGGCGGTACGTCGTTCGAAGGGTCGCAACCTTGGCAGGGTGACAAGGTGGGCAAGCTTCGACAGCAGAAAGGGGACGACCTCAGCAGCCCACTCGTCCAGCTCCTGCGACGACGAGCAAAGTTGCCGGCACAACTGGTAAGCTCGAGTCGGGCCGGCATCCTCTTCAGATTCGCAAGCCTCTACGTAAGCCTGCCAAGCATCGGGGTCACGCAAGCGATGTGGCAATAGGCTTACGTCAGTATGACGACGGCCGTGTTCCTTAGCGAAGACCGAGAAACCCCCTTGAGCATCTGTGGAGGGCTCCGTGACAAAGATGACACCAATACTCTCCCTGGACCGATGCGAGCACAAACACCCCTGGGCTGGAACTGTCGGCGCAAATCGCCACAATGAGTCATCCGGCGCAGGAACAAGCGCGTCCGAGGATGCTGGCACATCCCGCGCATCCAAGCAAAGGTCTTGCAGGTCGGCCACTTCAAAAAGTGCCGTTGGAGCCGCGTCATGGTCCGACAGGATGATGTGCTTGCCGGGAAGCAAAGCCCGCATGATCCACAGTGCATAAACCTTGCCCCACCAAACGACCGCCCTATCCAGCCCAGACTCCTGCCGGAGTGGGAAAAAAACACAGGCGTGCCGTTCATTGTGACGGCCCGTCCACAGACAGCGGTTGATAATGTGCGGCAGGGTATGGCGCGTGTGGCTGTATTCCTCGAGGGCATCCGTGTCCGTGAACAACCACAGGCAGTGGCATCGAACAACCGCGGGGTCAGTACAGAGCCACACTGCATACCGAGCAAGCTTACCCAAATTGACAGGCACCGTTGGAGTATAGGTACGCGCCTCGCTTGGCACCTGTGCAAAGGGGTGCAGATCCTCATGCATCGGCAGCTCCTGAAATTCAAAGATAGAGCTTAAATCACCGAGGCGGTCATCCAGCGGTGCGCGTCTGGCCATGTTCGCGCGCGCATTTAGGCGCCCAGCAAGGAGTTCCACCATCCGTGGGCCGGCAACCAGACAATGCGAGCAAACAACCACAGGCAAGTCAGGGTGGAAGGCCATGTAGGCAAACGTCTCCGCAACAGCCACTAAGTAGCCTACCAGCGAGACTGGAACACCTCCCGCGTGCTGCGGGGACCCATGCAACGAGAAGTGCCAGGGTACTGGCGTTTCAGGGCATTCTCGAGAGTCCTCACGGCCGGAGAGGACCTGAACCAGCAGGTAACCCTCGTACATTTGGAGGTGCACATACCTCAGACACGCGACGGCATGATGAAGGGATGCAACCGAAAGGGGCAGAGGCGGGTGAGCATCCGTACCGAGTCCACCAAGCACATAGCGCGTGGTGAATAGCTCCACCTCCATGGCACAGGTGGCTATCCCCTTTGGAGTACAGACCCTGGTTCCACTGGCCAGCGACGTATGTCGCTAGCTGAGCCCAAACATCGTTATATGCTCACTAAAGTAGCACTGACAAAGGAGACTCTAGTGCAACGCAGGTGTCGAGCCGTCCCTTCGCAAGATTGCCTTTTTCTCACCGAGGCGCCGGCGTCCAAAAGTCAGTGACAAAGCCACAAGCAGGTAACAAAAAGACTACCGACCGGAAGTGCCCGTCAATGGGCGCCTCTCACGAAACCGCCTGGGTCGGCCCCTACCCCATATAGAAGGTTTGGTATCCCTGGCGGCCGCTGGCGCTCTCCACCCGCTTGAACCACACCCGCACGGCCATATTGCTCGGGTCCTGCCAGTTGTGGAACTGTTCGACAACAACCAAATTGGCCTGCATGCCCGTCGCCGTCAACAGGAGAAGATCGATGTCACCTGTCGTCAACTGATACTCGGGGTCCGCTGACAGGTCGTAGTGACAGAGGTCGCCATATCGTACATTGATGTTGGCGTCCAATCGCTTCCACAGCAGCGGCATGACGCTGGCCATAGCAGAAGAGCTGACCGGGCAGACGCGCGAACGACGTATGTCGCAAGCGGATGGCAAGCTTGAGAAATACCGGTGCACCGCGGAGGTCAAGCAAAAGTCATCGAACGAGTCAGCAAGTTAGCCAATACAGCAGCAGTCCTAGTGCAGTCTGTCTGTTCTAAGAGGTTGGCAACCCTTCGGCGCAGCGCAAATGTTTTGCCGTCGCTGCACCAGGCCGTGCTGCTAGAAGAAAATCCCGGGGGACAGCCCTACTGAGCAAGAGGAAAAAGCCCCGGGTGAGGCCCACAGCCCTCCTGACACTCACGCGGTGCCCTCTCTGATGTAGGCCTGGTAGCCATACCACATAGCAGTATCCTGGCGGGTGTGGGACGTGGCATTCTCTGCACGCGGGTCATCCGGTAGGAACTTCACCCACGCGCGTTGGATCCTGCTTTCGAACACCACACAGTTCGCCCCACGCTGGGCCGCCAACGCCAATGCGAAGGTGACAAACAGCGGGTCAAGGGCTTGTGAAGAAGAGAGCTGGAACATGTCAAAGCCTGGGATGTTGACGTGGGCCGGGAGCTCGGTCCAGGAACCAGCACTACCAACTTGCGTCGCTGGCACTGCCATGGCCATAGATGGCAACATTGGGAAGGCTTACACCAGAGAGTGACGACGTATGTCGCCACTGGAGAGCGGGCCGAAATAAAGGCAGAAACAGCCCCCCCCCCCTCCCCGGGCCAACTGGTAACGGCGTATGTCGCTGCCTGAGCCCGATCGCAGCGATCGTTGGCAGTCTCACATGTCTGAAGGAAAGCTCCTAACGCAATACACTGCTACACACTGCATGGCAGGGCCGTCCTTTCTCGCGACGGCTTGGCACACAGGCCTCAGGGCCGCTCGGTAGCAACCGCTGCCGCTAGCAGGGGTGCGGTCCGGGCGAATTGGAGACCAATGTAAACAAATCTAAACAAAAACCAGCAGGAAGCCAGCACTCCTGTGGCCGCCAAGGCAGGAACACTCTACCCAAGGTAGAAGGTTTGGTAGCCCTGGCGGCCACTCGCATCGTAGTCGCGATGGCGGGCAATCTGCTCCTCAACGCTCTCCACACGCTTAAACCACAACCGCACAGTCATGTTGCGCGGCTCCTGCCAGTTGTAATGCTGCTCAATCACCACCAAATTGGCTTGCATGCCTGTCGCTGTTAACAGGACCAGATCAATGTCACTGGTCGTCAGCTGGTAGTCGGGAACCGCCGCGAGGTCAAAGTGGCAAAGATCTCCGTAGCGCACGTTGATGTTGGCGTCCAAACGCTTCCACAGCGGCGGCATGACGCAAAGAGCCATCGCAAAGGTGGAGCCTGATCGGGGCAGATATGCAAACGACGTATGTCGCAAGCGTGTGGAAAGCTCGAGAACCAAATTGGCCGGCAGGTCCGGGCACAGGGCCAAATACAAGCGGGCGAGGGAGCAGAAGCAGTAGCCGTTAATGCAAGGCCTTCATGAAAGGGCAGCCCTATAGCAGTGCCACGCTCACTTTTTGGCGGTCCTGCCTCCGCATTATGCATTGGTGCAAGCTGGGCCCACGAGGAGAGCCCCCTAGGCCAGCGAGTACACTGTTAAATAAAAACCCCTCTTTGGCGTCACC